AACTCTTACTATTACTCATCTAAAGCACTTGTTTGCGCATCATCATCTCCATCCGTTTCCTCCAACACCTTTGCCTCAAGGAACAGCTTCGTCAGGCGATCGCGAAAGGCACTCATGAGCGCGGGAACGCAGCTGTAATCCAGGTCTGTTTCAAATTTGCGAAGGAAGCCCATTACCTCGGCCCAATAGTCAGACGCCATTCCGACAGACACAAAAAGACTCGGGCGGAGTTCACTCAGCTGCTCCAGAGCCCTGGCCTTCACAGTTGCGTCTGTACGCACGTCAGACGCAACCATTGCCAGTAGAAGAGCGATAGGCAAAACCAGATAACAGAATCTTCCTTGGCTGATCTTTAACAGAGGAGAGAATGGAAAGAAAGAGATAGCAAAGTTACTCAAAATGATGCAATCAAGGCGCGCTGCGGCACAACGCTGGACTCCCACCTTTGTTGCGCAAAGCCGAAATTCCGCAACGTTGTTTTGAGGACGCCACCTAGCGTGCCGTCCTGCAAAAGCATGCGAGTCAAGGACGTCAGGCGTGCCCTCCACTCATAGGAATGTTGTACCTGTGGCACCAGGCTCTTCTTTTTTTCGAACAGAACATCCCAAGCATGCTGGCACGGGCCCACGATAGCAAGCGGATCACCGGCCGAGATACGCAGCATGTGACACGTATCACGGAAGATCAGGATGATATTGGGGCAAAACTGTCGTTTGAGACACCGCCCTGTTTTTTGCGCGTACGCCGCGCCGTCAGACGTGAAGCACCTGACGACAGACAACACGTGATTGTACAAGTCCTGATCGAAAGGCGCATCCCGCGGCGTGCAAAACTGTCGCACACCAGAGGCGACATTCTCTGCGGCCAGCTGGGATTTGTCCCTGTCCCACTCCTCAGGCGGGCTGTCCATCAGCTTCTTGACCGGATAAAGCAGGCACAGCATGCCCTGGTGAACTTCACCCTTCACAGTGGTAAGCTTGAAGCGAACCAGGCGGTAGGGCTTCTTGTCGTCCACCGAGAGTGTACACGACATTGCCTGCCTAAACAGCTGCCTTTTTGTTTGTCGGAGCGACTCATGCATTACGGTATGCATTTGTTGGAAGGCTCGACGCTGGATGGCTTGCACGTCCAGACGGCTGCTGTTTATAAATTGGTCGGTCAAGTTGAAGGCACTGGCCCCTCTGCTTGAAGTGCACTGGCGAAAGGCGCGAAAGGCGTGAAGCCAATCGTCAGGCTGCGGGACTGCCCCAGCGAGCAACCGCACGTCAGACGGATCAGTGGCGAACTCGACAGACAGGGAGGCAGGCATGTGAAACGCCTTCCAAGCCGCAACATGGAAAGAACTCAACGAATGCTTCCGGATAGTGCAGCTTTGCATGCTCGTCAGGCCATTTATTGCATACCGCGCCCATTTGGTGGAAAAACTTCGTCTGCAATGTCCAGCCTCTTGATTCATACGAACCATGAAAGCGGCGCATAAGGAACAGCCAACACCCCAAGTTTCTGCTGCTCCTTTTCTATCTCCAAGCCAGATGACGCGTTTGCCG